GATCTCTGGAGGTCCCTTCCAGCCCCGACTGTCCTGTTATTCTGTGTGACTGATTTGCCCCCTCAGGTGTCTCAGGAGCTCCCGTTCCTGCACCCCAGTGAGACCAGTGTCCTGAACCGGCTCTGCCGCCTTGGCACTGACTACATCCGCTTTGCTGAGTTCGTGGAGCAGTACACAGGGCATGTGCAGCAGCAGGTGGGTGCTCCAAGCGGGGCTGCCCCGGCACGGGGTCCTGCAGCGCGCATCCCCCAGCGTGAACGAATGCGCTTTCCCAAACAGAGCTCCAGGAAGCTCTGCATGATGCAAATCAGGGAGGGCACAGAACAACAAAAGAAGGACTAAATGTAAAATCTCATTCTTGGGGAAGCATGCTGTAATAATTTCTGGTCACTGTAGGCTGGACACGGTTTGTGAACTGAACAGGTTGCTCATCCTGTTGTGTCGAGTCCTCATTGTTCATGAAGAGCTTTGAGATCTGAGAGGCATGAGTAAGTACAAAGCAGCAGTGAAGTCGCCAGTGATTCCAGCACTTGTGTGTGTGTACAGAAGAGCTAAACACAGCTCTGCACAAGTAACAACTTGTGACAAACTTCGGGATTTTTTACCTGGGCCCTTGCTGGTGAGCCAAGGTGCGTTTCAGCATGTTCGGACCACTGGTTGCCAGTATAATGCTGCACAGAAACGCTATTACTCTTTAGACGTGCACTGGTGAGCTGATGTAGATTTTTATTGTTTGGTTTCAGGACCATCATCCGTCTCAGCAAAACCAGAGTGGGTTACATGGCATTTATCTGCGAGCCTTCTGCACAGGTCTTGATTCAGTGCTGCAGCCATATCGACAGGCACTGCTTGACCTAGAACAAGAGGTAAACAAGAGAGAGACTTGGAAAAAGAAGTTGCCGTGCTGCTGGCGGGTTGTGGAAAGTTGTCGTTTCTGCAGTTACTGTGCTAAGTAGTGCCAGTAAACAGGAGGCAAGGTATTTTCCTTTCCACATCAGGGATATCTTCCAAATTATTCCCGTGAGGTGCTATTGTGAATGGCTCTTCATTCCAATAAGCGTTAAGTTCCATCTACCTTCAATTCAGTAAGTGCCCCACCTGCCTTAAAGCACAGTGCTATCTCAGACTATTGTGACTTCTCTTTTCAGTTTTAAAGATTTTGATTAATCTCTGCTAGATTAGCAGCTGTCACGTCTTGCATACTGTCACCATCCAATGGTTGTTGTAGCTGAAAAGGGGACACAGCCCAAAGCTGTAGGAACTAAAGGTTGGGACTATAGAGCCAAACATGCTTTAGTACTCATCCATACCTTACTTTGATTTTCATTAATTGTTTTGTTATTTTTGCAGTTTCTGGCCGACCCACATCTTTCAATCTCACATGTTAATTATTCTTTGGACCAGGTATGTCACGTTAATAAACAGGTAGTGCTATTTGGTTACTCTTATCACTCCTTAAGTCTAATAAGAAAGTCTGTGGGATAAATAAGAGGCAGTCTGTCATGTCATGCCTTTTCTTTTTAACGCCTCTACATTTGTGGTCTGTTAATTATGTTCAGAGCATCACTTGCACTTTGACACAAAGCTGAGGTCCTCCACCTTGACCGTCACATGTTCCTCACAGCCTGTGTTTAGCCTGAACTGTGGCTGAAATATGGTCACTTCATGCACCTTGGTGCAGTGGAGAGAGGACATACTTTCCAGGAATTTTTCATGTAATGTTTCTAATTTGTGGGGAAAGCCAGATGATAAGTTTCATTACGTTACTGTAATCAGTTGCTCTCCACACTTACTCAAGTATAGTTTTTTCTCTCGTGCTTGCATAGCAACCTAATTCAATATTTTGCTCCTTGTTCAACAGTTTCATTTACTCTTCCCCTCTGTGATGGTCATGGTGGAACAGATCAAGACTCAGAAGGTAAAATTGTAGCTACTTTGTCTTGACAAGTTTCCTCTTTATCTGATAAAGTTCTTTCTGCTCCCATCCCAGCCTTTTAATACCACAAAGGAATGTGGTTTCAGTAACAGGTGCCTTATTTCTAGTATTACTGTAAATATTGAATAACTTTTGCAAATCCATTTACACTGGATTTTACTTTTTCATTTTCAGTATGATCTTTAATGATTTGCACTTTATAATGACAATACAGTCCATAGTACAAGATGATGCTAGTTGGAATTTCTTCTATTCTGAGCCTGTTTTCTCCCACCAACACCCCCACAAAAAAAAAAAAAAAAAAGACAGAAGCTAGTGTCTTCAGAGTCCAGAGATGTTTATTTTTTGCTAAGGAAAGTTTTTGAGAGAAGCATGGGTATAGAGCCACACATAGAAGGCCTGTTTTTTCACTGCATGGAGTATGTTACATCTTTCTTTCTGCTAAGGCATTTTCTTGTTAGCTGAAAGCATAGCATTTAAATGCCTGAACACGTCAGTACAGATCCAAATAACAGACCTAGTCTAACCGTGTTTTCTTTCTGCAGATTCATGGATGTCAGATATTGGAGACAGTCCACAAACATAGTTGTGGGGGCTTGCCTCCTGTTCGCAGTGCTCTTGAAAAGTATGTAGATACAGTAAAGGTGTTATTTTCATTCTTCTCTACTAACTGCAGATAGTGTCAAAGTGTTTGTCGTACTTGTGAAAACAGTACATGCAAAACAGGCTTGCACAATACAAAAGTAGGAGTAGCGTGCAGGGAAAGCTGTCACAGCTGCCCTTATATTTATCTAAAGCAGGCTTATGGCAGGAATTAAGGCCATAATAATATCTGTTAATGTGGAAATGGTAATTGAGTAGTAACAGGAGAACTGGGAAGCCACTGCAGATTTACTTACACTTCTCTGTGGAGAAGGCACATATTCTGAGGCTATGTTAGTTTAGGTTTGCAAGTGATTGATCCGCCTTTCTCTGCTGTAAAAAAAAAAATAAAAAAAAATTCCCATAGAGTTCCACGTTAGCCATTTAGCGCTTGCCATATTGCCTGGCTGAGTAACTGGACTTTCCGGAATGATGTACAATCGGATTTTGATGACTGTGTGCAAAGGCCCCACTGTCTTGTTTCTCTTGACCTCAGGATTCTCGCTGTGTGTCATGGAGTCATGTATAAGCAGCTTTCTGCGTGGATGCTGCATGGATTGTTACTGGACCAACACGAAGAGTTCTTTATCAAACAGGGCCCCTCTTCTGGGAATGTCCCTAGCCAACCTGAAGAAGATGATGATGACCTGGGAATTGGCGGACTTACGGGAAAACAGCTACGAGAACTTCAGGACCTGGTAAGAGTGCAAGTCATAGCTTGACATCCTTCAGTCCTTAGGGAACCAAAGAAATACATCGTCTTCTGCTTCAGCCTGAGCTACGCTAGACTGGACAGGTACTGAGACCTGGTAGGATGGGAAAGCAACAGGATATTGTATGAGGTTGCAGCCAGGCATGAAGGACGGTAACATAACCTTTGGCAGCTGGATGATCTCGGGGCAGAAAGCCTTCCGGATGGAATCCGTGTAGATCCTGGGGTCAAGTAGGTGGAACTGCTGTACTCGCTCTGCTCTTGACCGTTTTCTCATTCCTCATGGTCACCACTGTGATCTGCCCGACACAGGCACGGGTGATAGTGTGAGCAGCTGTGAAGGAGAGGGTGTGGGGAGCTTGGGTGTTGACTTGATTTACACCCTGTCTATTGGCAGCTGGGTCAGGTACCTCTCTTGTGCAACATTTTGTTGTGCAAATGTTACCTAACAGGGTGACATTGCTGGAGGAGAACGGCTGAGAACATGCTATGCCAGAGTCGAGACTGCTACAAACATGTCCAGGGTGCTACGTTAAACAAGGGAGCAACCTGCCAGTGTACTGGTGAAATGTGGTAACCCTCATGTCGATGGCATGCCATTAGAGTGCCTTTCTGCAAAGCAGCTTTCTCAGTGGAGTAATCTTCCACATTTTGTGCATCTGAATAGCGTCTGCATTAAGGAGCAGCAAGGAACAACTGCAACTCCCTAAATTCACACTCTAGTTTACTGTGAGAAAATATTTCAGGAGCACCAGCGGTGTTAGTGTGCTGCATGCAGCTTGGCCACGAACAAACAGTAGATTCACCCTCAAAACACCTGCACTGCATGCTAAGCGGCCCGTACAAACAGTCTGTGCTGAGGACAGACTACACACAGATAAAATCAAGGGAAAACTTTAAAGGGCAGTTAGTGAAAAAACTATTATTTTGCTGTATTGGATTGAAGAGGGTCCCTTTCGGAGAGCCGACCGAGTAACAACAACCACACCGATGCGGTTCCATGCCGTTCTCAGTTCACTGCTCAAATTAGTCCAATATATATACACGGTTAGGCAGTGTTCACACACAGGTGAACAGGTGCAAGCTATAATAAGCTTTGGGTTTTGGTCATGTTATCAAGCCATGTGGGTGTTAGCTACCCTTGCTGCAGTTAGAACATCCTATCGTACGTCCTTGCACATCCAGCGAAGTTCTTGCAAAACCAGTTTACTCCCTCTTCAAGAAAACTTCAGGGACAGAGCACAAGCTGGATTGTCCAAACCTTAAAGGGGTACATTGTGTTCTTGTTCCGCAAGAAATTCCTCTACATTGGATATAGGAAGAACATGAAAATTCATGAGTCTTCTAGATCTGTGGTGGAAAATGTAGACGATTAGATGACACCTAGAGAGCCGAATTAACTCTCTTCATCTGTATTCTGACTAACCGTGTTGGCAATTCTTCGCTCAGAGAGTAAAATAAATCTGGAGTGTTGATGGGGTAGACTGATAAAATACTTGGGGATTTCCTCATCTAAAAGCATCAGAAGAATCTTAAGAATAAAATTGCCAAGCTGTTAACATCAGTATACAAACTCATACTGAACTCCTATTAGAATTAAGAATTCTGTAGATGGCAAACATTCTCAAAAATTTGTTAGCATGATGTTTTTTGGAGTATGCACTAAATAAAGCTGATTCTCCAGTAACAAGAAAGCCAGAAATATTCAGTATTGCTTCTCTGAAGGAAAATCTTGCCTATGTACTTGGAGTTTTTTGTTAATACATATGGAAACAAGTTATTAACTTACTGTATTGTTTTAAACACCTTTCACAGGAACTGAGAAAGCTGCCTAATCTGTGCTACCGAGGCTTCAGGTCTTTAACCTATTTGCTCACCAGTGGAGGTGTTTACATGTGATATGGGCCAAATGTAAATACCTTGTCCACAAGTGTTTTAGCACTGTTAAAACATGCAGGAATGGGTGTAGGGGAGGATTACTTTTTGTAATGCTAATTAACATTGTTATAGCTGCAGAAAAAAAATAATTGTTTTTGATGTAACATTATCTTTTGGGAAAGCAAACTTGCTGCTATTCCACAAAAGTTTAGTTTCTCCTTTTCCTGCTTCTTGACCCCTCTCTGATGAAATGAACATCTTCTCTAGGGAGATCTGCTTGCATACCAGAAGTATAAAAACGTTTGCAGGCTTACTTAAATGATGCAAATCAGATTTGCTACCTCACTGTTTACTTCTAATGTGCTTGGATTCTCCCTCACACCCACACACCCCTTTATAAGCCTTTTCTATCTGTTTTTCTCACTTTTTTTCCTTGTTGTTTTTTTTTTTCCCCTGGGATGTCTGACAGCGCTTGATTGAGGAGGAGAACATGTTAGCTCCGTCTCTAAAACAGTTTTCTCTGCGAGTAGAAATGCTGCCTTCGTACATTCCTGTGCGGGTTGCTGAGAAAATCCTCTTTGTGGGAGAATCTGTACAGATGTTTGAAAATCAAAACGTTAACCTGACCAGAAAAGGTAAGGAACATTTTTCTTGCAGCCTTTGCTCATTTATGAGTGACTGACAAGTATATTCTAAAATGTGTATTAACAAATTCCTCAACAGTATCTGACTATTGGCCAGTACCCTTTATAACACACAATGGTGGAGTCGGACCAAAGCAGTGGTCCCAGTGTTCTGCTTCTGACTGATTCCAAGAGAGAGGTATAAGAACAGAATAGGTAAATAATAACACTTCCCAAACATAGTCTCCTAAGTTTCCAGCAACTAGTCACCATTGATTTGCTCTGGATAAATAAAGCATTGCAAAGGTGGTTGGCTCCTTTTCAGTTTGCATCCATGAAGGGTGCAGAGGGCCACAAGTGCGTATCTTGCTCTGAGTGCGTATGTTGCAAAATAGCATCATAGGATTAAAACGCATCCACAGACAGATTCATTGCAAGGTGGTTCCAGACATCACTGTGGAGCACAAGTTATCAAGGTGGAGCCTTAAGACAACGAGGGAGAGACAATTCCAGCTGATGGTTCTCTCTGAGAGCCTGATAACTTTAGACTGGAGATGGTCTTGGACATATATTCCTACACCACTTTGGGAGGACTGCTGCAAGGGCTGTCTTGAGCTTGTCTCCATAGAAGTACTCAAACAACTTGAGTGGCATTGCAAAGAACAAAGGCCCAATTAAATTGGACTGTTTTCTTGCCTTACCAGAAGCAAAGTGAAGAAAAATTGGTTTTCTAGCCTGGTTGGTGTCAAAGCTTATGGCGGGGCCTGCCGCTAAACTTTGACAAATGCTGTCTGTGATCTCCACACCACCCTCCCAGGGGAGAATAACAGGGGAACCAGGGAGAGAAAAAAAAACCTCAAACCAGGCTAATGGTAGTAACAATAAGATATTAAACCGCATACAGATTTTATACAAGTATACAAATACATTCAAAGGTACAAGAGAAGGTGTTCATAGCCCTCTAAACAACAAAGAGGTCCCAAGCAGAAAAGTCCCAGACTGGACTTGGCAGCAGACAGGAGCATCCAAGCCCAGAGTCCTGAGGACAGTCAAAAAGCCAGAAAAGGAGCTGTGCCTCTCCCACCTGGCGGGGCCGGCAGAGGAAAAGCACCTGTCCCCCGTTGAGCAGTGTTCCTCTGTGCTGTGAGAACTGGAGGCGCAAACACAAGTAGTGCAGGCACATGCAAAGAGCAGCCAATAGGAACCCCCACACACAGCAGCACTGAGGGGCCGGGCTCTTTCAGGGACCTTTTATGCCGTGCGCCCGTGGGAAGGAATGCAGAGATTGGCCCATGTGGGTCACCAAGCCCATCCCCTGCTCCCCAGGGCACAGCTGTCCTTCCTCATCCTGCGATTGCCCCCTGGGCCCAGAGCCCCAGAGACCACCTGTCCCTGGGCTCTCCAAGCAGGGCAGCTGGTTAAAAAAAAACCACCATAAAAATCCCCAAGTTCAAGCAGTAGAAAACCCATAAAAATCACTAAGTTCAAGCAGTAGGATAGATGTGAAAGGGGTGGGGGTAGGTGGAGAACAAAACCAACTGGTTAGTGTAGCAGAAAAACTGTGGGTTGGTCATAGGATAAGGGCTGGAAGCAGTAATCATTTACATAGAAAATATTTTGGGTTTTTACTGGTATCACAGCACTGCCACGTCAAGCGTCTGGACTGTTAACTGTACTTGCAATGGTAACCTTGCTCCTTGGCACTTGCACTTTGAGGCCGCCTTACCGTTGTGTTCCCTGCCAGAGCCGAGGCGATGCTGCCTCGGAAGCCTTTGGGCCCGCCGTGCTGCCAGGGGCCTGCGCTTCTCCCAGCCGTGTTCCTTTTTATGGTCCAAATCACTTCTCTCATTGCTGCACAGGCTCCATCCTAAAAAACCAGGAGGACGCTTTTGCAGCAGAACTACATCGACTCAAGCAACAAGCACTCTTTAGTTTGGTGGACTTTGAATCAGTGGTGGACAGGATACGGAGCACCGTGGCGGAGGTGGGGATCCCAGGAAGGGTAACTGCCGGACGGGCTGAGGAGCTCTTCGGGTTTGTGAGGGGCTGGGAGGAGAAGGGGCCCTGCAGAGTCGGTGACTGAGCAAGCACGTGAAGGCTGCGCGTCGCTTTTGTGTTCTTGTGGGACTGAGAGCTTCACGTTAGCCCGACTATTAATGACAAAAGGAGGTTGAGCAACACAATGCACTTCAGTGGGGAAGAAAGGGAATTTTTATTTATTTTTTAAATTTCACTTTAAATTACCTCAGAACTCTTCATCATGTTTTCAGTATAATAGATGGTGTCCCACAGTACAAATTCTTTGCTTTGGCGATTTTTAACCTTTTTTTCATTTGGGTTGCGGGGCTAGAATCTGAGAAGATGGAGAGGTTAGAGAAGTGAGAGCAAAGGTAGAGCAGAACTGGTTTCATAAGAATTTCCTGATGTTTTTTGCCACGGGTCTTCATGTATCTGAGGTAGTTTCTTGCCGATATACATCAAGAGCGTTCTAACTAGTAGCATGGCCTGCCTACATGCAGGAATTTAGTATGTTCTTTTGTGCTTCATATAACATTTTATATGGGTGCTTTTTTGTATGCATCATAGTATTTTAAGACAGCTACTGCTCTTACTGAATGGGTTTAGCTAAATCTGAGGGGAATTTTGTTGTTTTTTTTCTCACTAGCATCTTTGGAAACTCATGGTAGAGGAATCAGATTTACTAGGACAGCTGAAGGTAATGTAACTTCTAGCTTGTTTCTGCTAAAGCAGCTTATTTTCTTTTTTCAATGGCTCTTTCCCATTAAATGTTGTACTGCCTGAGATTCTGTGCTTTCTTCTTTTAGGTAAAGTTGTTTTCATTTTCCAGGTCCCAAAAAAAGAGTACAGAGTGATAGAACTTGGTCAGAGACGGAGTTAGAGGGCTATGTGTATGTGGTTTTGTGGTTTGTATGTTGAAACAAAGGCAGCATAGACTTTTTGGGCCAGGAAATTGAGAGCGCTCTAGCTGTGTTTTGAAATGGCAGAAGTTGTCTTAGCAATACAAACATAGATGCTGTCAGTCAGAATGCTTAAAATTCCTGCTCGGTTTTTGGTAAGCTTATGTACAAAAAAAAAATCTTCACAGATTATAAAGGACTTTTACCTTTTGGGAAGAGGTGAGCTGTTCCAGGCCTTCATTGACACCGCACAGCACATGTTAAAAACGCCACCTACGGCTGTAACTGAACATGGTGAGTGTTGCTCATTTACTTGGCAAACTGTCCTCGCTACGGTAGAGCAGGAAGATGGTCAGCTGCATCCAGGACAGCACAGCTTTATCTTAGAGATGTTAGTTTTGAAAGTGCTTGTGAATTAGAATGTCTCACAGAGTGAATGAAAATAACATCTCAGAAACTTTCAGATGGCATGTTTCTCTCCATGTTTGAAACTGGAGTTAAATGAAACTAGTGGAAATAGTGTGTCAGTGTTGTCTTATATTAATTGTATTGTATTATATGCTTATATTATATGACTAGTGTAGTCTATTAATAATCAGTGGGTGCAAAATTAGCACGAGCTGCATCATCTTGTGCTGATATCTGTGCTCTCTTGTCGTCAGATGTCAACGTTGCATTTCAGCAGTCTGCTCATAAGGTGCTGTTAGATGATGACAACCTTCTTCCTCTGCTTCACTTAACCATTGAGTATCATGGAAAGGAGCATAAAGGTACCTACTTGCATTTTTGGTCGTGAATTAAAAGCAGATACGATGCCCTTGTTTTCAAGCCCTATTACCTTCCTCCTATTTTCCCTCCTCTGAAGCTGAAGAAATAACTTTGTTTCCTTTGCAGCCCTATGTGACGGCCTGGCCTGCTTTGGCTCTTCTTATTCTCTTCCCATTTCTTCCTTGCCATGGTTGTCTTGACTGAGAAAATGACTTAATTCAGTGCGTCATTTGTTTTCAGACACTGCTCAGACTCGTGAAGGGCCTGCCCGGGAACTATCCCCTCGCGAAGCCCCGACATCTGGATGGGCGGCTTTAGGACTTTCTTACAAAGTTCAGTGGCCGCTGCACATTCTCTTTACTCCGGCTGTTCTAGAGAAGTAAGTGCTAGGGATGGTCTTTGTATATTCAGCTGTAGATTCCCTTGCCTCAGGCACTCGCTAATGCGTTGGGGTTTTTGTCCTCTCTGTCACGAGAAGGGTGGAGCTGTAATATTTCCGCTTGCTCCTTGAACCTTAAAATGAGTCTTTCCCCTTACTCATATTGAGGGTAGTTGTAATGACAGTCAGACCTGCCAGATGCTGACCGGTCTGCACTATTTTACAAGCTGTGCTCCCTTGACAAAACACTGTCAGCTCCTCTGTACTTACAGTGAAATGAGCTTTGTACTTTTTAGGTCAGTAACGAATACAAGCAGGAGCCTGTTACTCTGAGATGACTGTCACCTGACCTACCCTGTTTTGGCAGGCACCTGCCTCCTGCTTCTCCATCCAGTCTTGCATTGTTATGTTCTCCAGTACCTGCACCCAAGGAGGGTTTTCATTTTAAACACACGAGCATTTTTTGACTGTAGGTACAACGTTGTGTTCAAATACCTGCTGAGTGTGCGACGAGTCCAGGCTGAGCTACAGCACTGTTGGGCTCTCCAGATGCAACGCAAACACCTGAAGTCTAACAGAACTGATGCCATCAAGTGGCGTCTGAGGGATCATATGGCTTTCCTTGTGGACAATCTTCAGTATTACCTGCAGGTCAGGATTACTGAGAAAGGTAAACTGTATCCGTTAATCAGCAACTGGCAGAAGTGCGTGGAGGGAGCACTGAAGTCCTGTCTTCAGGGTTTAATTTCTTTGTAGCTTAAGGAACGAGTCTAGAACTTTATCTGAATTCCCAGAGTCAGCCCTACAGTTAGGAAGTTTTTAGACTTGGGAATCTGTGAATATTACTGGACATGCAGAAGTTTTGGCTCTCTAATGCTGCTGAACATTTGCGAGAAGCCACGGTGATCTCTGAAATGGCCTCATTAAGATGCCATCCTGGCTTCTTCCCTTGCCCCTTTCAGTGACCTCCAGTTTAAGTGATAAGTTGTTTTGGGGTTTTTTCTTTCTTTTTTTTTTTTAAAGAATTGAAAGAAGCCAGATTCTGACCATTTGAAGCAAAACCAAAAAGAAACCACAAAAACACAGAAAACTTTTCTGATAATTAGATACTGGGTTTTTTAACAGCCAAAAGAGCTGAAGCGAGGGGGCCTGGTTACTTAGATTCTCCAGAGTAATCTGGCTGAGCTTTTGCACTGCGGTCATTGCCCTGGGATTCCAGGTGGTATCTCCCAGTGTAAAATTCAGTGATGATTACAATCAAATACCTTTGTCTGAATGCTAGGTATATGCCTTTACAATAGTTAATCTTAAAGAAGGAAAGTAAGTTTCTGACAAAGCTTCTGTAATACTCCCATTCTTCAAAGTACTAATGAGATTTCTTTACCTGTCAATCAGGTGGATGTACTGGAATCGCAGTTCTCACAGCTTCTCCAGCAGATAAATGCCACACGGGATTTTGAGAGTATACGATTGGCTCACGATCATTTCTTAAGCAATCTGTTGGCTCAGTCTTTCATCCTCATAAAACCTGTAAGTAGCTCTTGTTTTCACCTTTTTCTCCAGAAATTCTCCAACTGCCCTAAGAAACACACCCTTTGGAATGGATACGACAAACCGTCTCTTTTACAACACACCAGTGATAATCTCCAGAGCACAGACTGCAATTCTAGGAGTAAAGCAGGCATAAAACAGAACAGATAATTGAATTAAGATTACTTAATTCACAGCTGGCGACTGTGGATGCTGCATTCCTGACAATTTTAAATCAAGATTATTCCAGTGTTCAGTTAATGTTATTAACTTTAATTTTGTCACTATTTTTCTCTCACAGGCAATTTTATTAAAGAAGTACTAATTAGTACAGTGCTAGGAACTGTATTGCTGAGGCACTCATTCTGAAATGCATTGGATTAGGAAAAATTCCTCTCTTACTTACACTTCAGAGGATAAAAAAATAGTTGTGATGTTCCTGAGTGGACTTTAAGGATATTTTTTATTGTTATTTTAGTAAAAAATGTTACAGTGTTGCCAGTATTTTTCTTAAACATTTAGCCTCACAAAAACATTCCCAGTGAAACAGTGATACCACGGATTTTGTCCATTTCAGTATTCTGCTCAGTCTGTCAGGCTGCATCTCAAAGGCGGCAGAACACTAATTATTCTGGAATTTTTAAGTGTTACAGTAGTTATGTCTGTGAGGCTTTTAGGCTTTCTTAATGCTCTCGAATGCAAGTTTCATTGGCCAACAGATACAGAAGAAATTCCAAGTTTTGTGAACAGTGAAACCAAGGCCTTGAATCCCAGCTTTTTGATCTTTTTTTTTCCTTCTCAATCTCGAAGCTGCAATGATGGTCTGCCTGGCTGGATCAGGAATAGAATCACAGAATCATAGACCGCGTTGGGTTGGAAGGACCCGTTACAGGCCATCTCGTCCAGCCCCCCGCAGTGAGCAGGGACATCTGGAACTGGATCGGGTTGCTCAGAGCCCCATCCAGCCTGACCCTGGATGACTCCAGGGATGGGGCCTCCAGCACCTCTCTGGGCAACCTGTGCCGGTGTCTCACCACCCTCACGGTGAAGAAATTCTTCCCAACGTCTAATCTAAACCTGCCCTGCTCTAGTTTAAAACCATCACCCCTTGTCCTATCACTACGCTTCTATACCTGTCTGGACAGTTAGTGCCGATTGCTGTTTCCCCAGCAATGTCTGCAAAAGGTCGAGGAGAAATATGCAGCAGAACATTTAAGTCCTTTTTGCATAGAAAACCATATTAAAACACTACAGGTGCTTTAACATTTCCCTACTGATGGAAAACATGCTCTCAGCAACATCTTAATTATGAATGCTGCAAGGTTGCAGGTACTAAGAACAGCTTTCTCTGGGCTTGAACTCTGTTTAAACTAATATCTTGTACGTTTTTCCCCATGCAGGTTTTCCACTGCTTAAATGACATTCTGGACCTCTGTCACAGTTTTTGTTCTCTGGTCAGTCAGAATCTGGGCCCATTAGATGAACGGGGCGCTGCACAACTCAGTATTTTGGTGAAGGTGAATCGGTATTTACATCAACGCTTTCTTCTCCCATGCAACCATTTGCCTAAACAGTGATCGTGGCTTTAATAGCTGTAGAACAGGAGTGCATTTCTGTATGAGTGCTTACAATGATTTTAATTGATCAACGCACACTGGGAAGGAATGTGGGTAGATATGCAGAAATTACCCTACTGGAATAGAAAGGAGGTGGGTATCAGTGTCTCTGCCCTCCCGTTTTGGGTATCTAACACCTAGAAATCCTTGTGGCTGCTTTTTTTTTGCAGTGATTCTTTTCTTCAGTCTGTGAAAGGATTATTTAGGCAGGAACAGAGATGAAAGGCTTTACTTGCTTGTTTTCTCTCTTGAGAGTGCTCAGAATTTATTTCTTCTAATTTGTAGGGATTCAGTCGTCAGTCATCACTTCTCTTCAAGATTCTCTCCAGTGTTCGCAACCATCAGATAGACTCTGACTTAGCTCAACTGCTGCTACGCTTGGATTATAACAAATACTACACCCAGGCTGGAGGAACCCTGGGCAGGTAGGAATATCTTCAGGGTTGTTTGTAGTATTACCCTGAGGTACTTGAAAAACAAAGTCATCCAAAAGACCTTAAGTAATTTTTATTGATTGTGTAAGCCAAAATAATTAGAAGCAGAGTGTTCCTGAGTACTGGGACAGAAAAGTAACAAACCAGCATGAGCTAATTTTTGGTTTTCATATGGTTTCTCCTCGTCAAGTTTGTTTCAGCATGAAGTTGAACCAGCTGCTAGTTCATACTGGCTGAAAAATGCTGATGCAGGTTGATAAAAGGGTGTTCCTTTCAATATGTAGTTAATATTGTGCCCTCCTTTTGCAGCTTTGGGGTTTAAGCACCAAGACCTTTTCTTCAAGCTGTGACCAACGACCTGTCAAGCAGTGGAGGCTGGTGCTCTTGGAGTTGGCACTCAATCGAACTTTTTTTTTGTAGCTGGCTCTTGCCTGGTGAAGCACCATTTCAGAATTGCAGGAAACGCCACTCAGAAGAGGCTGCCCAGCGACTGCAGGAAGCTACTCCATTTTTTCAGAAGTAGTAAAAAATATGCTTTCTGCAGCCTGTATATACTTGAAATGCTTCTAGGGAGGCAGCCTGTGCCTCTTCAGAAAGTGCAAAAGCAACAAGAATATAATGTCTTGACTCTTCAGCTGGACTACGCTCCTTCGCAAGCTGGCGTCCGGCGGAAGTAGTCTATTGTTCTTGACTGTAAATAAAGTTTTGGCAATATTCAGAAGTTCTATTTGTGCAGTAAACTGGTTTACAGTACACAATGTCTGCTAATCAAATAAATACCTCCAGGTAAATCAAGCAACTGCAAGAGCAGCTTGAGGTGAGGGGGCAGGGATACAGTGCACTGTTCTAGCATTTCTCTATAGGTAAAGGAGCCCTTAGCACTGTCACGTGCTTTTTATTCTACATTTTGTGTGCTAGAATAACACGCAGCAAGACAGAAGTAGGAGCTTTAGCCTGTTCAAAGTTACAAAGCTCTCTGCTGCCAGGAAAGTGTGCTAGAGCTAAAACTTGAGAGAAACGTAGCTAGGATGCCCACTCTAAATGTAATTTTCCCTCAACACTATTCAGAATGCTACTAGTGACCATCCTACTGAACCAAAATAAAACCAGCCTGTCAGGCAATTATGTGGAATATTGACAATGCCTGCACCCGAACGCAAAGGGGCTGGAATGGCACAGCACCCTGCTTCCCATGGACATGGGATCTGGAAGGCACTCCCTGGATGTCACTAGGACTTCCCAGCCTTGTGACTCCAGACTGCCCTGCCATGAGTCCGGTTGGAGGAGCAGCAGCAGAGAGCCCTCCAGTCTGCCTCCACCTGCCTCCTCTGGAGGCACGGCCCAGGAATAAGTTTAGATAAATGAGGGGTCCCAACAGCTACCACAAGAGATTCAACATTTATTTCATCATAAAAGTCCAGCAGATAAAACTATATACAGTAATCCATGCACACTGTCCAACTACACAAACATTTAAAACCTGACTGGAACACAGTCTGCACAACAGTGGGACAGCAGGGCAAAATTTTCGTTTACTGGGGGACGTAGTCATGTTTATATTTTGGATGCTTGTTGTAGCCTACTCTCTCCCCAGCAATAAGGCTCTGGATCACCCACTCTTGTGAGACAACAGGCAGCCGTAAAGCTTCTGCACACTTCAAGACACCAGCTGGGCAGGAAAAATCAGTCACCACCAGGTCATAAACACCCAAAGCAATATCTGCATGGGAGGAAAGACAGGCATCTGTCAGGAAAAGAAAAACAAACAAACCAAACCACACCAGAAAAAGGATCTTCTCTGCAGCAGATCAGTGTTTCACCACTCTGAACCTCTCTTCCATGTCCTCTCTCCTAGACAGGGAGTTCTCTTTGTCAAAGTTAAAACACGCTCTTTAGCAACACTGCACCTTCCAAGTAAAAGATTATAGTCTAGATGGAAATCAACCCAAAACTGCTAGGCAGCATTACAGGCAGGACTAGATAACCACGACTCCGGACCTCAGGCTGCGAGTACTAGGGCCTGCGTGCACCGTGGGGAGGGAGAGACAGCTGAGTTCAGAAGGACAAGGAAGCACAATTTTAGTGGCCCACGGAAGGTCCAGGAACAATTCTCGCCTCTTTATCCCAACACAGGCCGGAGCTGGCAGCTTGTGTCCTGAATTGCTGCAGCATCTGCTCCTCTGGAAGGCAGGTCTTCCAGACACAATCTTCTAGATTACATTCAAGCAGAGAACTAGTGTCTGCACTTTGCTTTGCTTTATGCTTACAGACAACTTGTAAGCCATCCTAACCGGTTCTGAACTGTCATAGAGCACACGGGGCACTGGGACTTCCAACTACGAGGCCCAAGAAACCAGCCATAAGTACCTTTGTTGTGAGCATTTGAGTAATGCTGTTTAACAGATGCTGCTCCCCCGGTCATGAGCACTTCAGACCACAGATCCAGGAAGTTTTGCTGCTGGTCTGACACCAGGAGAACCTTCAGGTTAAGGAATGGGTTTTCTCGTGGGTGCCTGCAGAAGAGAAATGCAGGACGCTAAGAATATCCAGTAGCCTGAGACTTTGGAGATCGTTATCTACCTGTTCCAGTCACCTGATTGCTTCCGATATTGGCTCTTCAAGTATCTTGCATACAATGACCTGCTCTCTTACCATCCCTCCTGAAACACTTGGAACACTTACCCTCTGCTTATAAAAAATAAGAGAGCTAGACACCATCGGGGCAGGGCGGGGGGTGTGCAGCAGCCTAAATTCAAAGTTAAACTGAACTCCTTTTTAGTCCTGACCCACCTTTTCTGTGCATATCCAAAAGGCCTCCAGTCTGACTGGGCTGTGCAGGCAGGCATCAGTCTTCTGCCCAAAAGCCTACAGAGATTTACAAACTCTTTTTGTCCACCCCTCACTTTGCACGAGAAGTCTGACCTGACAATTGTTTTCTCAGACAGATGTACTGGATTAAACTTCACCGAAAATGCAGAAACTGGCTTCAAAACACGCCAGAGGAAAAGGAGATTGCAGTCGTATTGCTCTCCTTTACCTATTTCTGAGCAGCTGGAAAAGTCAGCCAAGTGTGTGGGAAGCCTTGCCTGAATTCCATCCTCCCAGTGAGGAGAGTAACATCCTTCTTACTTCCCAGGTGATTTGTCTTTTTTGTGTATGTGACACCCAAATGTACCCTGGCATGAGAGGCAACTGTACAGGCAAGGAAAGAGATAAGTGCTGCTCCTCAACGGAAGGGAAAGCACAGGGACCACGACTAGGGACACCTTCATCATTTGTAGTGTTCAAGAGCCTCCCAAGCACAACAATTCCCTCTGATTAAATCCTCCGTCCGTGGGCTCAGATCATGGTTATTTGTCACTTACCATTCTAGCAATTTTTGCTCCTGGAGGCTATAACCAGCTGGCAAAAGGTAATTCCGATAATTTTGAAGCTGGTTAGCATGACAGCTGTCATGGACCCAGATGTGAGATACACAGGGGATTCCTCTGGCAAGGCATAGCAAGTATTTCCGAGTACGACAATGCTGGTCCGCAATTAAAAGACACTGATACGCTGCATTACACTTCAGGGGAGATGAAAAGACACGTAAACAGGAGACAATGCTTGCAAAACCAACAGAAGTTATCCTGCTGATAAACACTTTAAAGAAGAAAACAACTGAAACCCTAATTTTCACAGCCATATTATGTGAAAGGTGAGTTAGAGAAACAGATGTATAATAATCACCTTTTCCAAGCTATGCAGTTCATAGACTAAAACCCTGCCTAGCAGTTTTTGCGTTGCAACTATCTTCCAGTTCAGATACAGCAGAACATTCATCTTTTAGTTTGAGACTCAGAAAGTCTCACTAGAGAAGACTCTACACCCTCAGTCAAGTCGCTCCAAGAACAATTTATCCTCTCTATTAAAAATCTAAATTTAAGTAAAAGTGACACTAAATGAAATTAGTTGTCCAAGTCGGCCTGGTAAGTGAAGAATTAAGAGTTGTGAGGCAGAGCCTTGTGGTGAGACCACACCTGGAGCACTGCAAGCGCTCCTATGCTCTGCAGGACAACAAAACCACCAGACACTCCGAGACAGCCATTAAAGACCATCAAGACAGCCAAGCACTGGAGGAGAGGCCGAAAGAGCTGAGTTTAAGCTTGGCTGGTCTTATCAATGCATATTCCTGACTGAACAGAAGATGGAGCCAGACTTTCCCTGGTCTTATCCACTAAAAGGACAAGGAGCAACAGGCAGAAAAGGAAACACAGGAAATTCTATTTACTTGGGTTTTGTTGGGGTTTTGTTTGTTTGCTGTTTTCTTTTTTAAATGCAGGGTGGTCAAACACAATATCAAGCTGCCCAGGGAGGTAGTGGAGTTTCCATCCCTAAGGATACTAAACCCACAATTGGTCAAGGGCCTAAGCAACCTGTTCTATCTGATCCTGCTTCCAGCAGGGGGGTTGGCCGAGATGAGCTATAGAAATTCCTTCCAATCTCAACTATTCTGTGATTAGCCTTCTAATAAATAAGCCCTTACCTGCGTTTCATTGAAGTCTTCCAAGATATAGCCAGCTCCGGCTCGCAACTGCTGTGCTATGTAGTCTTTGTCATATGGAGTCACCTCTAAAAATTCTACAGCAGAAATAGAAAGTTTGGGTTTTTGCTATAATCTACCTGCTTATGTTCATACAATCCTCAGTCTACGGAGCCCTCACCCATTCCAGTGACGGCCTCTAGCCTTTCTCCCGAGAGTATCTAGGAAAAAAACTAGGAAGAATTAAAACAAAGCAGCAGAAAGGGAAGTACAGCACTGGCCAAACTACCCAAGTGAGCACCTTGTCACTTTTTTCGTGCTGCAGCTCATCCCATGGAACACGACCCTAGCAGAAGTAAACTTGAGCAACCCATTCAGGCTTTCAAGTCCTGTGTTCCCCGGCACTTGTCCTTGATCTCTCAAAACCTTCCTTCTCATATTACACTAAGACTGATTTCACCAATTTTCACACC